AGAGTGCTGATTGGTGCATTTACAATCCTTGAGCTAGATGGGGTCACAGAGTGCTAGTCCTCCAAGTCTCCACTAGGTTAGCTAGATAGAGAGTACCAATTGGTGTATTCACAAACCCTGACCTAGACACAGTGCTGATTGGTGTATTCACAAATCCTGAGCTAGACACAGAGTGCTGATTGGTGCACATGCAATCCTCCCCCTATATATAAAAGTTCTCCAAGTCTCCATCGGGTTGAGGAGCCCAGCTGGCTTCACCCAGTGGATCCTGCACCTGGGCTGGAAGCAGAGCTGCCCGCCAGTCCTGAGCCAGGCCTGCACTCCTCAGCCTTTGGACTGTCGATGGGACCAGGTGCCACGGAGCAGGGGGCGGCGCCCGTAGGGGAGGCTCAGGACGCGCAGGAGCCCACCGCCTGGGGAGGAGCTCAGACATGGCTGGCTGCAGGTCCCGGGCCCTGCTGGGCGGGGAGGCAGCTAAGGCCCAGCGAGAATTTGAGCGCGGGGCCTGCGGGCCGGCACTGCTGGGGGACCCTGCGCAACCCCCGCAGCTGCTCTCCTGGGTGCTAAACCCCTCACTGCCCTGGGCCGGCCGCTCAGTGTGCGGGGCCAGCGGGTCCCGCCGGAACTCACACGGCCCGTGAGCACAGCCCCGGTTCCCTTCCGCGCCTCTCCCTCCACACTTCCCGGCAAGCAGAGGGAGGAGGCTCCGGCCTCAGCCCAGAGAGGGGCTCCCACGGTGCCGTGGCGGGCTGAAGGGCTCTTCAAGCACCGCCGGAATGGAAGCGGAGGCCGAGGGGGCGCTGAGAGTGAGGGCTGCTAGCGCATTGTCACCTCTCAAGATTACAGGTATGAGCCACCACACCCAGCCCTTGGCTCAGGCTTTGATTGCTAGTTAAGAGCATCTTTGGTGAATCTGATCCTTCCCAGTGAGGAGTTACTCACCACTTTACACATTTAAGAAGGAAAGACTTAAGTATAATACCTAGGTAATGTTTTTATACTTTGTCTTTAATAGAGTGTGGTAGCTTCCATGTGGGCCTATGTATACACATTACATACTCTGGGAGTACAAAATCATTTTTTCTGGAACATGTTCAACCATAGTTCCTTTTTCGTTTGATGAAAACAAGGTATTAACCTGCCTGGGGTTGTATGTGCTTTCACTAGCAGAGCAGGCAACAAAAACCCAAATAGTTGAACTCTTAATTTCTCATTGCAATCTGTGAAAACAAGAAGAAATTAAGTACCTCAACACGGGGGAAATTTGTATTCTCTACCTTAAAGAAGCCTGTGGACTTCTCTTTCAATTGCCTTAAAACTCTGCAGATGAAGATAACAAAGAATCATGATGAGAGTGAGAGTGAAAACCTGTTGGCCTAAGAGTTTCTGTCTGATCTGTGACTCACCTTGGAGCTTGATTAGGTCAGTTAACAGCTTTGTGCTTCAGGCTGTCTCAGCTGAGAAACTGGGCTAAATACCTTTAAAGATAATAAAGACTAATGTCTCTGGAAAACAAAAAGTAGGCTGGGCGCAGTGGCTTATGCCTGTAATCCCCAGCACTTGGGGAGGCCACAGTGGGCGTATCACTTGAGGTCAGGATTTCAAGACCAGCCTGGCCAACATGGTGAAACCCCATCTCTACTAAAAATACAAAAATTAGCCGGGCGTGGTGGTGGGCGTCTGTAATCTCAGCTACTCAGGAGGCTGAGGCAGGAGAATCGCTTGACTCCAGGAGGCAGAGGTTGCAGTGAGCTGCGATTGCACCACTGCACTCCATGGAGCCTGGGTGACAAGAGTGAGACTCCATCTCAATGACAAGAAAAAGACTAATGTCTCTTAAATGCTTTGAGCTATTTATAAAAGTTCTGTGTTTGTAAATACAAGTTATTTCATAGACCTATTAATGGAAGTCTTTTTGTTTGTTTGTTTGTTTGTTTGTTTGAGACAGGGCCTCACTGTATTTTTGGTAGAGATGACATTTCACCATGTTGCCCTGACTGGTCTCGAACTTCTGAGCTCAAGCAGTCCACCTGGCTCACCCTCCCAAAGTGCTGGGATTATAGGCATGACCCACTGCACCTGGTTTCTAGTCTTAATGTAATGACTGTAATAGACATCGTTAGTTTTGAAATCACAAGATAATGTATTTTAGCACCTATCTACAAACAGTATACTGTTTTATTTTAAATGGGTGTAAAATATTTTTAAATGATCTGGATTTGGGTGTGGTGGGTTTTGCTTTTTCTAGAGTGAAAACTAACCAAGTAGAATACTAATTATGCACTTGAGTAGACATTAAAACAACTAATGCTGTTGTTACCGTTTACTCAAGGCTAAGTTTTACTATCAGTGGTGGATAGCCAGTAAGCATTATTTGTCAACCTCTAAAAATTAAGTTTAAAAATAATTATGTAGTGAGTTTCCTTGTTTTTATGATAAATATTTTTTTCATAATACTTTTATGACATTAACTGAGGCTGCTTTCCATCATACCTAGAATAAAACTTAAACTTTATCTACCATGGGCTGTAAAATCCTATATGATCTGCTCTCTCATGCCTCTATCATACTGGCTGCTTGTCAGGTTGTAGAATATGCCAAATTCATGGCAAGTTCTTCATCCTTCAAGCTTCAGCTAAAAGGTCTTCTCAGACCTTCCTTATGACCTCTCTTTCTAAATTGGTCCCTAGGCTGGGCACTGTGGCTCATGCCTGTAATCCCAACATTTTGGGAGGCTGAGGTGGGAGGATGTATTGAGGCCAGAAGTTTGAGATCATCCTGGGCAGCATTGTAAGACCCTGTCTCTACAATAAATCAGTAAGTAAGTAAGCTGGGTTTGGTAGTGCATGCCTATATTCCCAGCTACTTGGCAGGCTGAGGCAGGAAGATCACTTGAGCCCAGGAATCCAAGGCTAAAGTGAGCCATGAGTGCACCACTGCACTCCAGCATGACAACAGAGCGAGACTGTGCCTAATAAAGAGAAAAAGAAAGCCCTTTGTTCATTGTCACCAAATCCAGGTTCCCCCTCTACCCCCTTTATCTTTTAGACTTTATATTGGTCAACAAATCCTTTAGCTTTACTTTCAAAACATGTCAGAATTCTGCCTCTTCTCTCCATCTTCATCTCTGCCACCCTGGTCCAAGCCACCATCATCTCTCACCCAGATGATTGCAGTATCTTTCTGTCACTCTGCTCCCACTTTTGTCCCATTCACTCTGTATAATAGCAGCCAGGATGATCCTGTCAAGCCTCCATTGGAGTCCTTTTCATTTGGGGTAAAAGCCAAACTCTTGACCTCTTTAGTTAGGCCCTCCCCATACTGGCCATCTTGGAGCCCCTCTGATTTGACACCCCGCCCAATACATTCTGCTCCACTCTCCTCAGCCTCCTTAATGGCTCAGTCATGCTTCCTCCCAGGGGCTTTGCACTTGCCTTGCCTCTGCCTGGAGTGCTGTTTCCCTACACGGATCTACATGGGTCACTTATTCCATTCCTTCATATATCAATTCTAATGTGGCCCTAGTCACATGCTCTTAAATTTCAGCCTCCCACATCCACACTCCTCCTGTACTTCTTTCTTGCTTTATTTTTTCTCTTTAGCATTTATCACTGTCATGTTTTATTCTGCTGTTTCTCCCAGTAGAATATAAGCTCCATGAGGGCAGGGATTTTTTTTTTAATGGGAGTTCCTTATGGCTCCTGGGCAGTATCCCAGTGCCTAGAATAGTGTCTAATATTATTGAGTATATGCATGCATGCATGAATACTGTTTATCACAGTACGTGAGTTTAGTTACTCATTTGTCTGACTTCCTCCACTAATCTGGGAATATCAGCAAAGCAGGACTTCATTTTATTCACTCTTCTGTAGCTAATGCTTAGCATAGTGCCTGGCGACAAAAACATTCATTTGTGAATCAGTGAATATTAGTAGTACTTTGTATGCATATTGCAACTTAGTTTGTAAAGTACTCCTTTATGTATTATTATTTCATTTGATTTTCACAATCTCATATTGATAAGACATATCTCATATTGATAAGTCATCTCTCTAAACAAGAATACTAATTATAGGGGCCTCTAAAGTCACCATATTGAAAGTATTCTGGTAAATGATAGAACTGGGCCTGAGACTTACCTGCCCAGAGTACAGTGCATTTCCCACTGTATCAAAGGCCTGCTCCATAAGATTTATTATGCAGAGAAGTATTTCAATGACCTATGTTACAACTAGTGTCCTTTATTATATTGTTAACTAAATTTTCATTTCTGGGAGTTGAGTATAATATAAACAAATCCTGTTTTATGGACATTATGCCTAAGAGTAGAGAGAGTTGAAAAATGAGATTTAAAATAAAATATAATTCTGTGCTAAATGGAAGTATGAGCTACTGACATGTAATTACCTCGAAAACCACATTGCTGTTTTGCTTTTCTAGTTGCTCATCTTGCAGAAGGATACAGAGAAAAGTAGAGTGACCTGGGGCAGTGTTCTTAATGCTGATGTATTTTTCCTTTTCTTGACTGAATAATTTTTAGTCCCCTTAGGAGCCCAGGATATATGACAATAAACTTTAACAGTTGTATTCACAGCAGCCAAATTATGGGAACTTTAAAGATTTTTGAAAGCTCCACCTATACTTTGGCTCAAGGGTCCATTCAAAAAAGTAGACTTGTCAGGATATGAATACATCGATTCTACTAGCAAATAGGATTTTAGAAGTAACACTGCGGAATGATCATTCCTGAACAAATAACTGCATCTCCATAAAGTAGATGACTATTTTTCACTTCTTACAAGTATGGGTACATAAGAGAATACTTTACCTGCTGGAGGCATCAGTTTAACTGAATTTTAAGTAGAACTCAGGTTTCCTTCTGTGCCACTCAACCTTCCATTGGGATGTGACCTAAACTACATGTTCTTTTTTGAAGGACTCGGTTATATAAATTGTTGATGTGAGATCATTTGTATTCTAAGATTCGTTTGTTGTGCTAGATCTCCAACTTGCTGCTGAGCTTGGGAAGACATTACTGGATCGGAACACAGAGTTGGAGGACTCTCTTCAGCAGATGTATACAACCAATCAGGAGCAGTTACAGGAAATTGAGGTAATTCACTCGGCAGGAGAGTTATACTTTTGACACTTTGATGTGTTGTTGTTATGTCAATCACATACTGGTAAAATAACACTTGCAATTAGACACAGCATTTTATTTTTTAACACAGACTGTTTTGAGAATAAGAACCGCCTCCTGAGTAGCTGGGATTACAGGCGCCTGCCACCATGCCCAGCTAATTTTTGTATTTTTAGTAGAGATAGGGTTTCACCATGTTGGCCAGGCTGGTCTCGAACTCCTGACCTCAGGTGATCCACCTGCCTCGGCTTCCGAAAGTGCTGGTATTACAGGCATGAGCCACCACACCCAGCCTAAAAAATGCAATATTTAAGATATACAGAATGGTGTTTAAGAGAACAATACTATGAATACTCATATATCCACCACCTAGCTTAAGAAAGAAGACTACCCACACTGTTGAACTTCCCACCAGAGAGGGAACTTACACCTCCTCCTTGGTCGCATATCCCTCCCACCTACTACCAAACCATATCCTAAATTTGGAAAAAAAAAAAAAAAAATCATGGCTCCTTATTTCACAATGTGTTCAGATGTTTTGCTCCATTCAAATAATCATAAAATACATGTTGCTTTCTCTCTGCTGTGATCTTGATTTGTTGACATTTTTGCTGGATATTATATCATTAAAATACTACATTTTTGACTGAGTGTGGTGGCATATGCCTGTAATCTCAGCACTTTAGGATGCTGAGGGAGACAGATTGTTCAAGCTCAGGAATTCGAGACCAGCCTGGGCAACCCGGTGAAGCCCCATCTCTACAAAAAAATACAAAAATTAGTCTGGTGTGGTGGCGTGTGCCTGTAGTCCCAGCTACTTGGGAGACAAAGGTGGGAGAATCACCTGAACCTGGGAAGTCAAGGCTACAGTGAGCCGTGATTGTGCCAGTACGCTCCAGGTTAGGAGATGGGAGCGAGACCTTGTCTCAATAAAAAAATATAATAATATAATACCTTTTGCCTAGCTTAACAAAACTAAAATGAAAGATGCTAGACTAGGGCGTTAAAATGGCCCTCCATGCTGCTAATCTTATAAACGGTCCCATTCAAGTAGTTCAGTTATGTGTAGGCCACTTGACTGCAAAGATAATAATGGATATTAACCAGACAGTGTCCCATCAGAACACCTTTGTCCATGTCCCAACCCATGCTCCCCGCCAAAAGGGGACTGTACTTATATAAATGCTTCCCCCTCAAACTGGTACAGTAGACCCAGGACTCTTGTGTCTGTGCACAGAAAAATGTAAAAGACTAGAATGGTGAAGTAGTTCATTATAATGAGTACTTACTAAAACTTTGATTATTTCCTGAACCAGGTGCTGGGAATTCAAACAAGTAAAGAATTACGTAGTCCTTTCTTAGAAGTGATCACATTATACAATTTTAATCTTTTGAATAGAAATCTATCATCAAAACAAAGGCAAATGTACACTCTCAATATCCATTAATTTTACCTAGTAACATAAAAGATATATACAGTAGACCCTCCCCTTGAGCAGGATTTCTGAAATACACTTTTATAATTCTAGGACGATATGGCTTGCAATGATATTGAAGTCACCAGGTACCATTTTAGCATATTCTACATCAAAAGAGCATAGAATATGTTTACATTGAATTTAATGACCAGTTACTGTAGGCCGGGTGAGGTGGCTCAAGTCTGTAATCCTAGCACTTTGGGAGGCAGAGGCGGGCACATCCCTTGAGGTCAGGAGTTCGAGACCAGTCTGGCCAACATGATGAAACCTCGTCTCTACTAAAAATACAAAAATTACCTGGGGATGGTGGCAAGCACCCATAATCTCAGCTACTTGGGAAGCTGAGGCAGGAGAATCACTTGAACTCAGGAGGTGAAGGTTGCAGTGAGCTGAGATTATGCAGCTGCACTCCAGCCTAGGCAATAGAGCAAGACTCCATCTCAAAAAAAAAAAAATTAAAAAACCTACTGTAGAGTTTGTCAGAAACCTAAAATGCAGAAAAACTAGGCATTTAAAAACTATTAAACTAGGCTAGGCATGGTGTCTTATGTCTGTAATCCCAGCACTTTGGGAGGCTGAAGTGGAAGAATTGCTTGAGGCTAGGGTTTGAGACCAGCCTGGGCAACAAAATGAGACCCTGTCTCTAGTCTAAAAACGAAACTAGTAAACTAGCCAAATGTTTTATGTGGTCAAGGAACTCTTTCCTCCTTTGTTTCTTAGACTTTGTTTTTTTACTCAGTGGGAGATTTCAGAATAGTCCTAAACGATCATCACTGTTTGTATTTATGTAGAGACATAGTCTTAATTGTATTATCGTAGTCTGTGAGGTTTATTCGATGCCTGATTATTGCTAATAGTTAATAAATTGAAATTGTATTGATGTTTCCTGTTAGAGCATTTATAAAACACTATAACTGATTCTTGCTTTAGCACATCTTTCTTTCTTTTTTTTTTTTTTTTTGATGGAGTCTCGCTCTGTCGCCCAGGCTGGAGTGCAGTGGCCGGATCTCAGCTCACTGCAAGCTCCGCCTCCCGGGTTTACGCCATTCTCCTGCCTCAGCCTCTTGAGTAGCTGGGACTACAGGTGCCCACCACCTCGCCCGGCTAGTTTTTTGTATTTTTTAGTAGAGACGGGGTTTCACCGTATTAGCCAGGATGGTCTCGATCTCCTGACCTCGTGATCCGCCCGTCTCGGCCTCCTAAAGTGCTGGGATTACAGGCTTGAGCCACCGCGCCCGGCCGTTTTAGCACATCTTTCAAGTGTAGCTGAAGTGTAAATATTTGTAAGTTGGGAGAATGATGCTTATTGATTAGTGTAGGAGATTACAAACAATTGGTTTATGATCTAAGTTGTCTCCTTTGTTTTCATCGAGGATGATTAAACATTTAAGCTAGATCACTGGTATTCTGAAAGTATCCAAAGATATCTGAGGTTCTCCAAATCTACAAATAACACTTTATTATCTAATATTATCCATAAGATATTGTAAAGCATCATGGAACTGAATCCAGTTCAGACCTTCATAATTAAATAAGTACAAAATTCATGTATGAAACTATTCAGTAGATTTAGCTTGGAATATTTCGGGAAACATATTCATGAGTCTCTTATTTCTGTAATATGTAGCCCACTGGTTCCTAGATCTGAGCATTGCACAATGTAGTATTTTCCTCTTTATCCAAAGCTGTTTTTTTGGCTAAGAATAATTACTATCTTAGATTTCTTCACCACCATTACAGTTGACTTTATTTTTTCTTTCCTTTTATAAGTTGCTTCATGAAAGTAAGTTTATAGTCTCAGTAGGGAAGAGGAGATGGCAGTGCTGGCTAAGCTCACTTACCAGCCGGGGGATTCCCACAGACTGTCCTTGCTGCCTGCTCCATCACAACTGTGCCTGGGTAGACGTAGGGATCACCATGTAGATTTCCGAGGTCTCTCTAATAGTCTAAAAGAATGCCTGATGCTCTTGTAAAAGTAACCAGGCAGCCAAAGAGCCTACTTCCTTGCTAAACGATGACCCTTACGTATGTTCCTCTTATTGCAACCTTCAGGAGGCCCCCTAAACTTTATAAGGGCTCTCTCCTTAATTTGAACCTTTTCAGCATGTTTCTCCTTACCTTAAACTTTTTATTGGAATGTACATTACAGAAAAGGGCACAAATCCTAAGTGTATAGTTTGATGAATTTTCATAAAGTAAACATGCCAATGCAACCTATACTTAGATAAGGAGTTGAGAGCATTATCTGCCCATCCGGTCACCACCTGGTGAACTAGCATCCTAACTCCAACACCCTAGATAAGTTTAGCTTGTTTTTGACCTTTTCATGAATGGAATCACTTGTACAAGTTTTAAAGTAACTGTTTAGAATGTTTATTGGAAATTAGATTAGAAAAGTAATACACAGCTGGGCGCAGTGGCTCACGCCTGTAATCCTAGAACTTTGGGAGGCTGAGGCGGATGGATCACCTGGGGTCGGGAGTTCAAGACCAGCCTGGCCAACATGGCGAAACCCTGTCTCTGCTAAAAACACAAAAAGTAAGTGGGTGTGGTGGTGCATCCCTGTAATACTGGCTACTTGGGAGGCTGAGGCAGGAGAATCCCTGGAACCCGGGGGACGGAGGTTGCAGTGAGCCAAGATCCCACCACGTCACTCCAGTCTGGGTGAAAGAGTGAAACTCCGTCTCAAAAAAAAAAAAAAAGATTTTTTTAATTCAGAAAAATATATAGTTGAAAAACAAAAAATCAGCTCCTATCCCACCACCAGTGAAATTTAAAATGAGACAGTTCAGAAGAATGGTCTGGGAACAAACTCTTCTGAGTGAATGAAAAATAGTGTAGAGAACTGGTGAAAATACTAGGACAAGATCCCTAAGATTCGGACTTATTATGGAAATAGACAACTTGGACACTGCCAAAGGGTATTTTGTAAGTAGAACCACAGATATTCTTTCAAAGACTCTTGGAGGGTTTCAAACAATCCTTCTAAAAATTGATCAGTATTTTTGGTAGGCATCGTTTTTAATGTTGAAAAAAAATTTAATGTGAAAACGAAAAAAGATTAAATAAACTATTCAAAATAATGGTTAAACTGGCTTCAGAGAAGCCTGTAGCCTGCCTTACTTTTATTCAGTGCTAATTTGAAAAACATAATTTTTTAAGAATCCAGAGCAAGATTTTTCTGTTCTGAGTGGAAGGCGGGGAGGAGAGAACTCTTTGGAGAGTAACGAGATCAGACACCATTGTATTCATTTACACTTTCCTACAACTGTGTAAGCAGCCTACAACCTTGTGTTTTGGTTACTTCTTTGCTTACACACCTGCATTATGCCCTACAGGAGTTGTGCCTAGCACTCAAAAGTAGTCTGGCCTCCAAGGCATCCCTTCTTTCAAGAGGAGGTGGAGCTTGCAGTGAGCCGAGATCGCGCCACTGCACTCCAGCCTGGGCGACAGAGCGAGACTCCGTCTCAAAAAAACAAAACAAAACAAAACAAA